CCGATGAATGATCACTATTAAGAGATCATCACAGACGTTTTAATCTCCTCTGAGACAAAGGCTAATTCCTGAACTGGGCAGTGCACATCAGACAAAGCAGCTTTCCTTCAAGCTCACTCAGTTTCTTAAGTGTGGATGGGTTTTGAGCATCCTGAGGGGAACTCTCCTCTCTGCCAGCTCTTCTGACACCCGCAGAGGCTGGGGGATGCACAGAGCCCACCCTTGGCCTGTTGAGATGTGGGGAGAAGTGGGTGACTTCCCCACTGTGGTGTGAGTAGCTGCTGTGACTGCAGAGACTTAGCATTGTGCTGGAGCACAGGAGCTCCCCAGAGCTGGAGGAGAAACCCTGTGACCTGCACAGACCTTTTCTGGATGTTTGTGGGTTATGGGGGATGGGTTTTTACTTGCAGCAGAATCTGAGGTGGGTCCTCTCCCTCCTCCTTGCAAAACTTGTGAATGCAATAAGGCTAATGACTCCCATAGGGTAGTGCAAGCCAAGACAATACATTTGATTTTGACCCCAGTTTACAACTGGGCAACGTGTCAGGGATATTAGCTATTACCAGTGACATTTTCCATTCTCTTACATACATTTCTTAAGATGTAGAAATGTCACCTCAGCATGCACTTAATTCTTCCTTCATGAACTAAGGAAGCAATCCATTGTTCCTGAATTACAATTTTTCTGCAACTAAATACATTAATTTAATATGCACAGAAAAAAAAAGTTCCTTAATACGTTTAATTCTGTAAAGCAATAAGCATGTGTTCCTACCAATTATCCCTTGTGCATATTTTACTGTGGCTAGATTATAACATAAAAATGACATAAAAACATTAATCAGCAGAATAATAAATGCAGTTTCATCTCAAACTCCTCCTGCTAATTTAGCATCCTGGTATAACACAAAACACATCCGGCCAACATATCCAATGGCTGTACAGAAACTTTTTCTAGAATACAATGTGCATATCCAACTACACAACTTCCTTGCTTTTTGGTTTTATAAATATTTTAGGGGAAAAAAAAAAGTGCCTAATATGTTTCAAGCTGTTTCAATGCTTATGTTAATATTCTTACTAAGAAACTCCAGTTATGCACACTGGCAATGAAAATGTATATAGAATGATTTTCAGTGTATTGCACTGCAAGTGGTATATATAACTACACATGGCACAAATGCAGAGTTGTCTTGCAGAGAAATAAAAGAAAGGACAAGACAGACAATGGAAGTAACCACTCTACACCAACTGTTCAAGGGAGAACATGCCTTTTTAACTAAAAGAGAACTTTTTTTTTTTTCCCAAAGTAGTGGTCAGCACAGTAACATAAAATTACTTCATTCTGAGTTCTCTGCATGTTAAGTCAGAGTTGAAAATTTCCATATCCCTCTTTTTTGCTGACAACTCTGCACTGATTTAAGTGTATTTGCGATGTGGTCCTTCTCAGGTGCCTATGCAAACAAGCATTTCCTTCATTTTGAACAAAGCTCCTTAGCATGGCTTCCTTCTTCTCTGCTTTCATTTATACAGTATCATTTATAATTCCATGTAGTATTTGACACATGTATGGTGTTTCATAATCCAAAAATCTGCCACAATTAGTACAGAATAAGAACTGACCCACAAAGGGCAGGGGCAAATTTCCTACTGACTTCAGTGGAGGTTGGATTTATAGAAGACACATTATTTTTATTAGAGAGAAACATACACATACACACACTTCAAGACAGGTGATGCATTACTTTTTTGAAATCTAACAGTTTTAGAGTGTATGAGATGTGATTTATACTGCAGTATACTGTAGTTACCTCTCCCACAAGCAAATTGAAACTCACGTCTCTGGACAGTCTGAAGCAAGATGGGAATCCCTACTGGGAGAGGAGACAGCGCCTGTATACCACTGCCTTTCCCTGGGAGGTAGTGATCTGCAAGTGTATTTTTAACTGATGGCAAGGATACCAGCAGTCTGTTCTCATGTGTATGTTATTTAAGGCTGAATGACTAGAGTGCTTCTAAAACAAACTGCAAGAAATGTGTTCATCCACAGAAATATATCAACATATTCCAACTCCCAACTAGTTTCTAGGTTTACAATTCAGTAAGGAAGAACTATTTAAAAGTTGTAACGGTGCTTCTGAGTAACAACTCAGACCCCAACCTTTTCTTTCTGTTTGGAATGCAACATCTGGGCCTTCAGGCTTGTTTAATAACAAAGAAACCAAAACAGAATGGTCATAAACACTTGGAAGGTAATATCATGCCTCTTTAGACAGGGAAGACCACTGAGCAATCTCAGGCACACCCAAATAGCAGGATTCATCCCTCTCTAAATGCTTATTCAATCCCCTAAAAGCATCCATCCCCTAAGAAGTCTGGTAATCTGGTTTACTAGATGCATTAGAACTATAATGCTTTAGCCCCATGCCAGTATCCCTGCAGCCCCACCCTTGCCAGTACATATAGCTTATTACACACCTCAAACACAGATAAAAGGGATGCTTTAAGGATTAACTTACTTATGAATACTACTATAATCAAGCTAAATTTATCCAGGTCAATATTTGGATTGGCGAAAGTATCACAGAATGTTGTGTAGATGATCATCAGGAGCACGCAGCTGCTGATAGCGCCAAACGGAGGCTTCTTCCTTTCAAGCCAGTCCTTGATGTATCTTCGGACAATCTGCAACACAGAAACCAACAGGTTGCCTCTTTTCAAAGATGCAGGGAGCCAAGTTGGGCATCACAAAGTGAATCTGACAGCGGAAAGACACAAAGAGAAGAGAGTAATTTGGATGACGGCCACAGTGGATTTCAAAGCTTCCCTGCCACACAACTCTTCTTCTGGGGAATTTAACATTTGTAGTGCAACTTCCACTGGGCGTCCATAATGAGAGTATATTTTCAAGTACATTCAAATCCATCCTTAATCATGCCAAATGTTCTTTGCTAGCTGTCACGGAGACATGCCCATTAAGCCTCCCCAAAGTTTATCTCCTCTGCTGATACTAATGGATGTATGTAATTATCACAGTCCCCTTTGCATCAACAGACAATTCCAAGTGCAACTTTGGGAATCTTAAAAATCTGACATCTTCAGGAATTTCATGACGGTAGATAATCGAAAGTGATCCATGGAACATTTTAATATTTAAATAGCTAGCGATGCACCAGAAGTTTTTAATTAAATTATAACTCAAGCTTGAAAAGCAAAAGTGCATGTGTTGTGGGAGTTTAAATAATTCAAACTATGAATATCTAGAGTTTTTGTAAATCCAAAGACAAATGCCATTTGCACGCTTTCAGAATACCAGAATTAACACATGAAAACAAGGAAACCTACTGTACTTAGTGGAACTTTGGCACTTTCAGGAAACGGAATCTAAAGTTGTTTTTCAATAATTTTTTAGAAATGACTATAAATTTTAAAGTAACTTCACTTTTCAAATTATGCCAAATACTACAGGACTAAGCCTCTGCAGATACAATGCATCTCCTTTCAGCCCTGCCTGGGGAGTCGCTTTTAGCTTTTCTCTTTACCTTATATGGTTCAAAAAAAAACTTTCTAAAGCTTTTATCGTACAGCTGCGACTTGTGTTAATTTTTCAGCAATCACATTATCTTGCCTAATTTCTCCCGAGACCTCCTGATGATCTCTGTTACCATGCTCTTTCAGACACAACAGCATGAGATCCTGCAACACCTCTACCAGAGGGCTCTGAAGGTGTCTCCTTACCTTCCCAGTTACCTTCCCATAGCAGTACCATCAGTAAACATCCCGACTATCGGCTTAACAATACAGAACATTTTAGAGGGATTCAAGAATTTCAAAGCATCATCACCAATGCTACCACAGCACCTTTTCACACACTGACAGTCAAAGCTGCGGGACTGACCTCACGGCTGTCAGTTTTCCTCACTGCTTTCTCAGCTTGTTTGCAAGTCTCTCAATAGGGAAGTCCTGGGAGCAGCTATCCCAGTGACCACAGCAAACAGACTTCATTGACCACATGGCAGGGCACGGACTAAAAATTTGGCACATGGGGTTCACGCAAAGCTAAGCAGGCTGAAGACCAGTACTTACCTCCTAGCACCTCTAAGATTCTCACTGATGAAAAATAACAGATTTACAGGAAACTATGTAAGGGAATGCTCAACACTCCAGTGAAAACACTCAACTTTAACATTTCACACTTGCTAGATGTTAAAGAGAGAACACAACTCAGAATATAGAACCAAACTTCTGAAGGAGCATTCAATGGAGCTCCTTCAGCCATCTCCTTATAAGACACAGGGTAGGAAGAAAACATTGCATTGATGAAAGAGAGGCAAGAAAGCTGAGTGAAGACATTTAGTACGCAGTGTGAAAGACATCAAATGGGAAGACCAGATTAGTCTAATCTGAGCAGATTTGGGACTCTGTAATTATGAAAAGCAAAAAGCAAAGTCTTTCACCTCTAAAGTGAGTTTTTTCTAAGGAATTTTAAAACAAAAGACTATTATCCCCTAAATTAAGGTGACATTGGGGAAAAAGAAAAGCTACTTAAGACCACCTATTTATTTATGGTCCTCCCAAAAGATTTATACTGAAAGTAACGAGATGTTGAAAAAGAAAAGTGATGGTTAATTATGCCACAGTACAATTTATACTGCAAGTATTTATTAAAAAAACTATAACCTTGGGTCTGTACAAGGTATAATTATAACATACATTACAATAATAACATTATACATCTATTTATCATGGACTGACATATAAGAGAAGTTAGAAAAAACCCCAAACAAACACGTTTTAAAAATGAAACTGCAAGCAGTCTTTCTTAAAAATCTTCAATCAGCTGATATCCACCTCTGTCTAGTCTGGAATTCTTGTGAATCAACAACCATAAATACCAGTACAGCTTCCTACTGTACATTGTGTTTTTTAAAAAATTACATAGTTGGACCCTGAAGAACTAAATTGTGGCTTCAGGAAACCATCTCATCAACCCAGTGTCATGCTAAATGCATACTGGAAAAGCACAGACAAAAATACATCCTCTCTAACACAGAATCCCATACATTTTGATCTTCTCACAAGGTTCAAGACCACCTATAATTTCAGAGGTCGATTCAGCCTATGATGTCTGATTCCAGGTAATCTAAATTCTTGTATAACTTAAGAGGGGAGAAGTAAAACCCTACGGGTATCTGTAAAAACCCAACTAGATTTTTCAAAGAGAAGCTCACGTCAGCTGATTCATTTTGACTGAAAAACAATCCATTTGTTACTTATTCATGCCCTGCAGAGTTGTTTCAGGACAAGCATGTTTTGAAAGCCTTTTAATTCTTAACCCAATTCTGTAACTTTTCAGGGTTAACACAGAATTTTTAAAAATTGTGACAATTTGTAGTGAAACAATGATAAATCTCACAAATACAATACACAATAAAGTACAGAGCCAGCCAGCCAACCTTGTTGTTCTGTGGTGCCAGCACTCTCTGACAGGAAGTCTAACAGAGGTTGAAAAGCCATGAGCAATGTAGATTGAAATGATCAAATAAAGAATCTCATAAGTAATTCGGAGCCTGTGCAGAGATACTAAGCTTCATTTGTCTGCAAACACAGTAAAAGCTCACACAATCCTTTTTGCATGTTATGGCTTGTACGAAGGATACCAGACTCGGGTACCATAACAGTGTGCCACCTCTCAGTTGAGACAACAAAGTCCAGTAGTTTGAAGTGCATACCAGTACAATGGGGGACAAGGGAGGGACAAGCACCAGAGAAACAAGCAGTTGAGAAAATGTCTGAACTGATGCTCCTGTGAAAAGATGAACTTACAGCCTGGGGTAGAAATGAATGACTGACATCCAAAACAGATGCATCAGATAGTTTACAGAGGGAAATACTGCAGGACGGTACCATGGTGCAAAGCAGGCATGCACAATTTTTACGGTGCAGATCTCAAGGTATGAAGGCCTTGCAGCCCGTACCCCTGCTGAGACTCCTGCAGAATTACTTCTGCGAGGGGGGCTTTGGGGCCTCTGGTCCTATGGTAGTGATCACGTTAGGTACAGTAAATTGCAAAGATTTTTATGCAAGTTTAAATGCCAGCCCCAAAGAGCAGAGGATTCCTGATGGTTGACCCAGAGGTTGCACAGGAAAGAACAGTTCATGGTGAATCCTTCCCTCAAACTGTGGTTTAGTGGAGAGAAGAGGAGAAGCAATACTTTGCAGTAAGCGATATTTTATAAATAACCTGCATAATGAAAGATGCTGATAAACTCATAGAAAAGATAGAAGATAAAAGAACATAAACATGTCTATCAGGCAACTACCTCCTGGTGACCATGTCCTGGCAACCTCCAAAAGTTTTTGGAAAGTCATCAGCTCAAATTTGCTTCACAACACAGTTCCAGACTCAAACTTTCCTCTTGCCCAGGATTTAATTTTAACAACAAAGGAATGTAATTACACATGAATTAACAGTAGTGTCCCCATTTCAATTTAGTTCTTCTACCAGCATGGTTACATCCACAGTATTTTTCCTCCAGACTGCTCCGTATCCTGCCATTACCTCCTTGTCTAAACACCAGCCTCCCTAAGCAAATGGGCTTATTGTTCATATGTTAATTCACTTAACATCCCCTGTACAAACAAACACAGTCTGCTATTCCAGGAAAGCAGGTAAATAACGCTCATCTCTTATAAGATCATACATGAAAATAGCAGAAGATATATTACAGAAAAACTATTCACTTATCTAATTGTACCTTCATAACGGTCACACTGTATATCCAGAGAAATTAGTCAGTAAAATACAGCTAGACTGTTTCCACTTGCCTGCTCAAGTGCTGGTCATACAAGATAAAAAATGCAATAAACAATGTAATTCATTAATGTTCATTATTAATTGATCTAAATAGGACAAGGAGCTCCCCCTCCATGTATATGGAATGGAATAATTTCTGACATTTGTAATACAGTACATCTTTTAAAAATTATCTAGATCTTAAACTTAATTTATTTTTTTTAAGCCATGAAATGAAGAAAAACAAGGGAAATGGTTATGAAGCCACTTTTTCTGTTTCCATTATACACACAAGAGTATCTCTTGATATTTACATCATTACACAAAGTCGATTTTTCCTTATTCTATCAATATTTTGGACTTATTTAATCCTTAACTGAATTTGCAATGTTTTTACTGTACTTCTGCTCTTCTTGTTTATTGTGTTTTGGTATATACTTCTAAATACCCAGGAAAAACACCTGAGGCTTTACCATTTCAACAGAGAGATACAAGTCACATTTTTCTTGTGTTGAAATACACAAGGAAACAAGCTGAAACTATGCTGGATTATCGCTATACCTAAATGCAGCAGTTACCTTATTTACTTTGTCTTTTAAGGTAAGATTCCTAACTCATTCTTAACTAATATTATTACTACTTATAGCAACAGACCTTTGCAATAAACTCTGTAATGTGAGTGAGGCTAGATATTTGCAAAAGTTCAATAACTTCTCAGTATCTCTTCTTACACAGTGATAGCAAACCAAGAAAGAAGACTGAACAGAATATTGGGAATTACTTCAGTTAAGCTTGGAAGACATGAAAGGGGGGAAAAATGGAATTAAAAAAAAAAGTGAACTAAGATGACAGCAAGACAGTGACTCTGAAAACAAGTAGAAAAAATCAG